GAAACGCAAGAAGTTCTCCCTCTTGCTCCCTCTTGCCCTGAAATCTCTGAGGAACTTCTGATTGAAAAATGAGGCCAACTGAAAGCAAAATGGCACATCCTGACAGGTTTGTGACATAGTCTATGAGAGGAGGTATCATGGATAGGCCAGTCAGGTGTATTCAGCTCTGCTTCATGTTCCCAAGCTCTTTTTTTTTTTTTTATAATTAAAAAAAATATTTATACAAGAACTGGGGTACAGGCCAGAGGTGCGGGAGGGTGAGAAGATTCACCAGAGAAAGAGCTGGGAGCAGAACAGGCAGATGGACCAAAAGCACTGCCGAGGGGAGCAGTAGGCGAGACAGGAGAGGTCTGCCACGTCATGTGGGTATCTCCCTGGCCGGCCGGGAATCAAACCCATGCTGCAGAGGCTGTGGACAGCTTCACAGTGCTGCGCTCAGCCGGCTGCGCCACCTGGGAGGCCCACATGTTCCCAAACTCTTGACCCTTTTGACTGATAGGTTTGTATAGGTGGGATGGGATGGAGCTCCTCCACCCCCAACCCTGTCAGCCTTGTTGCTTCCCCAGCCTGAAGGGAAGCTAGGCAATTAGGTGGTCTGGTCCCCAATGTTCCAAGAGGTGATGGGCAATCCTCATGGCAACCCTCTTACATCTGTGCTTCTGCCTGCCCCACTTGGCAGCTGAGAAAATGATCCAGACACCAGGGAAGGTGCCTGAGTCACATAGCTGGTGAAGGTGGGGCAAGGATAGAAAACCTGCCCTCTGCCCATGTACTGGAACCATTGAGGTGGGGGCTATGATGTATCCTTAACGACTTCCTGGAGGAACAGGTCTTGCCCAGCCTTTGGGCCCCTGTCAGACTCCCAGACCCTCTGCTCAGTGCGAGGGTCTGAGTTTGGTCATCTCTAAAACCTGATGAAGAAGGTGCCTTCAGGTGCATCCACACACCCTACTGTGGTGAGGAGGGGTCCTTGGGGAGCCACATGGCCATCCCCAGGCTGCCCCAGACCTGTCAAGTCAAGTACTAGTCTTTGTCAATACCTGGTGATTCACAGGCATAGTGAAGTTCATGTTGCATCAATGCTCTGCCTTTGGCCCTGGGAGGGAGACTCCCACCAGCTTTTTCTGATCCCCACCAGCTGTGCTGCACAGAGGTGGGGGGGGGGGCCTCTCTTGCGGTATGGGAGCCTGGCTTACAGGGAGATTTTGGCTTCCCAAGGGCAGGTCTGGTATCCTAGGCACAGCCAAGCTTTCTGCCCTGAGGTAATCTGGATGTCACTGTTTCCCTTTGGGTGTGGCAGAGCTGGGAGATGTGGGGACACCCCTCTTTCTGGCCTCTGACCCTTTCTGCTTCCTGTTCCTACCTCCCTACTCCCTCCCTCGCCCCAACCCCCACCCCAGCCTGATCCTAGATAGTTTGACCACATCTAGCCCTTGTGCCTGCAAGGACAGGCCATTCCTTCTCCTTCACATCGCGCCTCCCTCCTCCACCTCAGCCCATAGGACAGGGGCCAGGGGCTGGGAAAGCCAGAAAGGTAGGACTGGGGGGGTACTGACTCCCTTAAGATCTGTGGAGGCTGGTGCAGGACAGGGTCTGGCTTGGGTGGTTGGAAACCTATTGGAGGGTGTGGGTGAGAGGATATTGTGAGCCTTACCTCTGATGTCCTGGCAGGGCGGCCTCTGACCCGAGGGTGGGGCACTTGGAGGCCTGAGGGTCTGAAAACTGAGGCTATTTTCTTCTTGGGAAGTGGTGCTTGCAGCAGTTGCCAGGGAGAGGCGAGCAGATCAGGCCTTTTCCCCCGCCCCCCCCATCCCCCTGTCCCTTTCCTTCCCTCCCATGACTCAAGAGGGCTGTGTACCCTGGTCCCAGGTACCTCAGTACCACCCGCTCAGATGGACCCCATGCTCCTGCTCCTGTAGGGAAGGTTTCCCACTGGTCACTAGTGCTGGCTGTGTGCTTCCTGCTGCGTGTCCCCTGCCCTGGTTCCTCCACCAGGTCCTGTGTTGCCCCCACCTGGTGCATTCCCCAGCATGTCCCCTGTTCCTCTCACCACCCTGTCTCATGTTGCCCCTTCTCTTCTGGGTCCTGCGCCCCTCCCATCAGGCTCTCCCATGTGCGTCCCCACATCTTCAGGACCCTGAGCTCCTTACCCACTGCCTGGCTTGCCCCTATTCCTGATACTTTCCTGAGGGCTGCTTGATTGGCAGCCTGTGTGGTCAGGGATCTCCAGGTGTCAGCAGCTACATTAATTAAGCAATAACGATGTGCCCTACATGTGATATCAGTATTGTTTAAGCACCATCCGTGTGCCCCTGCCTGATGTCAATGTCGACTGAGCGCTGACTGTGTACCCTGTCCTTCAGGCAGCACTTTTACCCTGGTTGTGTTTTGGGAGCTGTGGGCAAGGGGCCGAGGAGACTTCTATCTCCACTTGCTTTCTTGGAAAGCCCAGTGCCCACATTCCTGGCTCTCATTTGTGGGCAGGCATTGGTCCCAGGAATGGCAAAGCAAGTTCCAGAGAGCTGGAGGCCCTGGGGAGAGGGTAGAATGCTTTGGGGGCGATATAGCTCTAGGATGGGAGAGTCCTGAGAGTTTCTGACCCCCATAGTCTGGGCTCTGGGGCTGAAAGCATTGTCTCCTCTTATCATGTTTGGAGGGTGAATTAACATGGGAAAGCCTCCTAAACTATTCATTCATTGGTATTGGTATATCTATAGAAGATTTCCCAAATGAGACAGACAGGGAGTGAGTGGGGTTGAGGGGGTGTTCTGAGGGGCAAATGGGGGCAGCGGGGGCCAACCATATGTGCTGTAGGGTTACTGTGGTCATGTTGGGCTTTTTTGTTTTTTCTATTGAGGTGAAAGTCACCTAATACGTAGTTAACCATTTTATTATTTTTTTAAAGATTTATTTATTTATGCATACAAGAACTGGAGTATAGGCCAGAGGTGCAGGGGGATGAGAGGATTCACCTGAGACAGAGTGGAGAACAGAACAGGCAGACAGACTGAAATACACTGCTGAGGGGAGCAGCGGGCAAGACAGGAGAGGTCTGCTGTGCCATGTGGATAGCTCTCTGGCTGGCCGGGTAGCAAACTCATGCTGCAGAGGCTGCAGATAGCTTCACAGTGCTGTACTTAACCCCTTGCACCACCAGGGAGGCCTGTTAACCATTTTTTTTTTCTGTTACCCATTTTAAAACAATTCAGTGGCATTTAGCGCTTTCACAAATTCATGCAATCATCACCTCTATCTAGTTTTCACCTGCTGTTCCCCTCCGCAGTGTATTTCAGTAGATCTGCCTGTTCTGCTCCCCACTTCGTCTCTGGTAAATCCTCTCACCCTTGCACCTCTGGCCTACACCCCAGGAAAATGAAATACACTGCTGAGGGGAGCAATGGGTGAGACAGGAGAGGTCTGCTGCTCCATATGTGGGTTAGCTCCCTGGGTGGGGATCTAGCTCAGGCCATCATGGTGATAGTGCTGAGACTTAACCCCTAGGCCACCAGGGAGGCCCTATTCTTTATATGTAATGATTGATTTCACCCTCATCTTTAATTTTTTTTTTTTATTCTAAAATGACCTTTTCCTCCCAACTCTCCATTTTGTGATGCAGGAGTTTCTGCCTCACTTGCATCTCACTGAAGCTGCATCCCTAGTGAATCCATCTTCTTAGGGAAGAGAGTCTTGGTTTTGTGGCTTCATCACAGTTTGCTCTGCCCTCCCCTTCCATGGCCTCTGGGAAGATGATGGAATGAGAGGGTCCAGCCTGCCATGTCCAAGCCCAGGTTCAAATCCTGCTGTGTCCCCTTATAACTCTAGGCCCGTGAACAAGCTGCTCAGCATTTCTCTATCTCTGCACTGATGGGCCTTTTTCCTAGACTAGACAACCGATGAGCACAGGTAGAGCCAGATTCTCTGAAAACAGCCTGGTGCTTTTTGGTAGTGAGGTTGTCTTCCTCTCCAGGGTGGACACAGATGGGCACAGATGGGCAGATATTGGAGCAGCAAGGCCTTAAAGACTGCCTCTTCCCCTCCCAGTGAGAGGATTTTATGGCGCCCTATTCCTGGGGGAGTGCGGCTGGGAGGTTGCAGGTCACTGAGTCCCTCTTCTGTACCACACGAGGGTTCTGTGCTGGCCCCTAATCCCACTCTTTCTGCAGGGGAGAGAAGAGAGATGAACTCTGGGGTGGTTTACTGGGACTTGGGGGAATGTGACATGGAGAGTCCTGAACCTCAAAGTGAACACTCAGGAGGCACATGCCATTTTAGAGTGAAAAATAATAAAAAAATAAAGTCTTTAAAGGGGTGAAAGCACCCAAATATCCAAAGATGGGTAAATAGATAAAGAAATGATGATTTGGCCACACAATGGAATATTACTCATCCATAAAAAGGAATGTAGCACTGATTCATACTATACTGATTCAGGGTGAAAGAACCCTGAAGGCATCATGCTGAGTGAGAGAAGCCAGACACAAAATGCACATGGTTTGTGCTCCATTTATATGAAATGCCCAGAACAGGCAAATCCAGACAACAGATTGGTGGTTTAGGGTGCAGAGGGAGTGACTGCTTGTGGGTCTCCTTTTGGGGTGATGAAGGGCTCTGAAACTTGATATAGGCAATGGTTGTACTACATTATGAATGTACTAAATGCCACTGAATTGTCCAATTTAAAATGGTGAATTTGATATTATGTAAACCTCATCTCAATAAAAAAGGGGAAAAAGGGACATTGGAGCCTATTCAATTCCAAGGTAAATCCCCACCCATTTTATAGGAGGCAAATGGAGGTGGCATCCATTGCGAAGCTTGGTCAACAAGCACATGTGAGGTAGGATTGGAACCTGAGTCTTGTGTCTGCTTCTTTGGGGCAGATTTTGGCAATTTTGTGTGTGCCTGAGGCAGCTCCAGAGCCTGGATGAGCCTGCCTGTGTCCCTGGGCAGACACCAGGTGGCCCCAAGGCTCAGCCACAACCCCGCCTCTGTGTCCACAGCACAGCCGACAAGAATGGGGCCCTCAAATGTACCTTCTCCGCACCTGGCCACAGCACCAGCCTCCTGCAGGGCCTTGCTGCCCTCCGTGCCCAGGGCCAGCTCTTGGATGTTGCGCTCACCATCAATAGAGAGACCTTCCATGCACACAAGGTGGTCCTGGCAGCCTGCAGTGACTATTTCAGGTGAGCGAGCTCTGGGTATGGGGCTGGAAAGCCCATGGGGGGGTTGGAGAGCTCATTCTCAAAGGGAATGAGTCAGTGCCTGCCTGCCAGCCAGGACATCCCTGAACACTGGTGCTAGGTAGGCCATTCTTTAGGGTTAGAGAACCAAATGTCCATCTGTGTGCCTATGCCTGGGTTTTTCTAAGTTTTTCAGGTTGTAAGTTATTCAGAATTTATGTAAGCAAGTTGAATGTACTGTGGGACCCCTGAGAGGATGGCAGAGTCCCCCCAGGTTTTCATCCTGTCTTTAATGACACCTGTGTATGTCAGGCACTGTCCCAAGCCTCAGGGATCCAAGTTCTGCTCTCATGGTGCCCACACTCCGGCCAAGGATTAGGAAGGACTCTGAACAGTGACCCTGTGGTGTCCTGTGCAATCCCAGGCCCCATGTGACAGCGAGGCCTTGCCGGTGTTTGGTCTGTCTGCTAACAAGCAGCCTGCCTTGTGCTGAGCTGGGCTGGGGACAGAGGGCCCTAGGGAGTGAGCTGGGGGCCATCCTCCTCACCAGCTGGAGGCTGTCTTGGGCCCAGGACTAGCTGGTGAGCTTCCTCCTACCAGGCAGTGACCCTGCCAGGGAGAGTTTGGCTAACTTGGGGTGGTTCTCTATCCCCCACCCATCCCCCTTGTGAATTCCAGCCCAGCCAGATGTGTGTCAAGGCCAGCGTGCTTTGCCTGGTGTACCTCCAGATGTCCCCCCCACCCCCCAGCTAAGCGAGGCCATTCCGGGGAGCCAGAGCAGGCAATCCAACTGGGGCGCCGCTTCTATTTTTGTTCTGGATTTGGGGACGAGCAGTTGGCCCAGCTAGAAATGCCCTTTAAAGGCTCCTTTGTGTTGGCACTGCACTGCAGCCTTGAGGCCTTAAAAGGCAACACTCCTTCTGTGTGACTGTGGCTTCAATGGCTGATGGGGCTCTTGGGGACGAGTGGGGCAGGGGCTGGGGGAGCATTGTTCTTGGAGGTACCATAGCAAGGGCAGACTTAGCTGTCCCTGCTGCAGCTGAGCCCGACCCACACTGTATGTGTAACTTTGAGACAGGCATCTTGTGGGGATGGATCAGGCATGGACCCTTCCCTGGGATAGCATCAGAGACAGGCACTAAGGTCACAATTAATGATGAAACACAGCTCACTGTTGAGCAGCCTTCTCATACCATCCTCTAGACTCTCCCATGGACTCTGAGCAGCTATGCTGTGGTTCCCTCCCCGTTTCCCTTTGGGGAACCTTCCTCACATTAGTGATCTTTCCAGAGCAGGAGAGAGCACAGCTGGCAGAACTGAGGCCACTCACAAATGTCTCACAGTGGGCTGGGCCTTCGTCGGGCCATTCTTAGGGGGTTCCTTGACCTCTTGGGCCTTTTTCTAGAGACAGCAATCATCCCAGTGCAGCCCCTGAATGGATGCTCCAATCTGGGGGCCCACCCCCTTCCCATCCCCGTGTGACAGTGGCTAAGACTCTGGAGGGGAAGGTGTAGCCACTTGCCCAGGGGAACGAACCAGTGAGGGGCTCAACTATGGGCTGCAATATATGGTGCCCTCGGGGTCCCAGCCTTATCTCTGAGCTTGCTGTGTCATGGTGTGACTGGAGATTAGCTACTGTCAGTGTCCCACCATGAGCTGCCTGAGTCCCTGCCATCTAGCCAGCCGTCTTGGGTTGCACACCCTTTAGACGAAACTGTGGAGGGAGGTACTATCTGTAGGAAATTGTATGACAATCTATTCTCTTTTGTGTGTCTTAACCGAGCATCTAGCCCTCATCTACCCCACTTCACACTGTGCTCCCCACCTTTAGGGCCATGTTTACTGGCGGCATGAGGGAGGCAAACCAGAGTATCATTGAGCTGAAGGGTGTGTCGGCACGTGGCCTGCGGCACATCATTGACTTTGCCTACAGTGCTGAGGTGACACTGGACCTGGATTGCGTTCAGGATGTGCTGGGTGCTGCTGTGTTCCTGCAGACCCTACCTGTGGTGGAGCTGTGTGAGGAGTTCCTCAAGGCTGCTATGAGCGTGGAGACCTGCCTCCATATTGGCCACATGGCTACCACCTTCAGCCTGACCTCACTCAAGGAGTCTGTGGATGCTTTCACCTTCCGGCACTTCCTGCAGATTGCTGCTGAGGAGGACTTCCTACACCTGCCGCTGGAGCGCCTGGTCTTCTACCTGCAGAGCAACCGGCTACAGAGCTGTGCTGAGATTGACCTGTTCCGTGCTGCTGTGCGCTGGCTGCAGCATGATCCAGCCCGGCGGCCACGCGCCAGCCATGTGCTGTGCCATATTCGCTTCCCACTGATGCAGTCGTCAGAGCTAGTAGACAGTGTGCAGACGCTGGACATCATGGTGGAAGACGTGCTGTGCCGCCAGTACTTGCTGGAGGCTTTCAACTACCAGGTGCTGCCCTTCCGGCAGCACGAGATGCAGTCACCACGCACAGCTGTGCGCTCAGACATCCCCTCGCTGGTGGCTTTTGGAGGCACACCCTACACCGATAGTGACCGCTCTGTCAGCAGCAAGGTGTACCAGCTGTCTGAGCCAGGTGCTCGCCACTTCCGAGAACTCACCGAGATGGAGGTGGGCTGCAGCCACACGTGTGTGGCCGTGCTAGACAACTTTGTGTATGTGGCAGGTGGCCAGCATCTGCAGTATCGCAGTGGTGAGGGTGCAGTGGATGCCTGCTATCGCTATGACCCACATCTGAACCGCTGGCTGCGCCTGCAGGCTATGCAGGAGAGCCGCATCCAGTTCCAACTGAATGTGCTGTGTGGCATGGTGTATGCCACGGGTGGCCGCAACCGGGCAGGTAGCCTGGCCTCAGTGGAGCGCTACTGCCCAAGGCGCAATGAGTGGGGCTATGCATGCTCGCTGAAGCGCCGCACCTGGGGCCATGCGGGTGCTGCAGCGGGGGGCCGTCTCTACATCTCAGGTGGCTACGGTATCTCAGTGGAGGACAAGAAGGCTTTGCACTGCTATGACCCAACAGCCGATCAGTGGGAGTTCAAGGCGCCCATGAGTGAGCCCCGTGTGCTGCATGCCATGGTGGGAGCAGGTGGCCGCATCTATGCCCTGGGTGGCCGCATGGACCACGTAGACCGCTGCTTTGACGTGCTGGCCGTGGAGTACTATGTACCCGAGACAGACCAGTGGACAAGTGTGAGCCCCATGAGGGCTGGCCAGTCGGAGGCTGGCTGTTGCCTGCTGGACCAGAAGATTTACATTGTGGGTGGCTATAATTGGCGACTCAACAACGTGACAGGCATTGTGCAGGTGTACAACACTGAGACGGACGAGTGGGAGCGTGACCTGCACTTCCCCGAGTCCTTCGCAGGCATTGCCTGTGCCCCTGTGCTGCTGCCCCGGGCTGGAACCCACAGGTAGCTCCTGGGACCCCTGCTGGCCACATTGTCTCCCAAGAGGCTAGGTAGCAGCACATCCTGGCTAAGAGCCGTGGAACCTGCCCTGGGCAGGCCTCCAGGGGTCCCTCCCTTCTTCCTTCTCAAAGCAGATGCAGAGGGGGCAGCAAACATGCCCAAGACGGTATCCTCACCTGCCTCATGCTCTTGCTTGCAAGAAGGAATCTGGGTCCCCTTTGAGATGTTGTATGTGGCTTTGTCTTGCTCTTCTCCCCTCCCCCAGCCCATGGTCTCATATTTTAAGACGCAAGTTCATTAACCTAATGCCCAAATCCATTATGTGCCACTCGCTCCCTCCTTAGTTTCTTGTGTGTGTGGATTCTAAAATAAATGCACCCCAAACCTCCGCCACCTGTGGATCTCTAGGAACAGGAGAGTTGCCTGGAAACACCAGTTTTGATTAATGCCAAGGGCCCTGGCCTGCTTCCCTCGTGAGCCGAGCTGCCAAATGGGGTCCAGAGGAGGGTTCAATCCCATCTGACTGCTGTCCTCTGTCACACATTGTCAGGGGGCTGCTCCTTAGCTCTCCAGAGAACACAGCCAGCTCTTGGAATGGGCCTTGCAAGCCTGGGCCTTCCATTGGGGTCTGGGTATCACAGGGAGCCTTACCCAAAACCTAGACTTCATCCCTGGTTGGAGGGTCGCCTGGACTTGTGGAACCATGTCATGTTTATTTATCTCCCCTGCATCTCTGTGCCCCGCCTACTCGCCTGCTTTCAGGCTGATGTCTTGGAGCCCCTGCCCCCTTCATTCCATCTGAGGACTTTGCGGCATCTCTGGCCACATATGTTATGGTGTCTAATCCTCTAATAAGTGTTTTTTTTTAGGTTCTGTTTTGCTTTTTTTTTAAGAGGCCAGCACTGCTGTCTTATAAATGGAACTTGTACCCTCGGGGCAACTTAAAGAGGCTCCTTTGCTGCTAATGGAAGATGGATGTTGTGCCTCTGTGACCTCCTCAAGGTGTAAAGAATTAACCTCACACCTCAGCAGACTTCGTCTCCTAAGATTTCCCTTTTATTGAATAAAAATGAAAAATAAAATGTTATGGTGAAAAGGTGCAGTGGACTCAGCGCTAAGCTATGGGGCCTGATGGGTCACAGAGTCATTGTGTCTCCTGTGTTTGGGGGCTCTTCTTCCCCCTTGCCCTTTTCTAGCATTGGAGAGTTGCTGGAAAGGGGGAGGTTCTTGTTCAAAAGTGTGGGGGCAGCAGGCATTGTGGTCAGGACTTTCACAGGTTGCCTGGAGGCTTCAGGGAGACCCTTTCTAGGTCACTCCATGGACTGGGGCCTCCTGCCATCAGGCAGCCCCCAGCACTACCAGTTTTGTTTCCATCTAGTCAGCTCCCAGGGTGCAATGGTGGAGACAGGACAATTTCTAAAGAAGCATGAAGCCAGGCCCTTCTATAGGAGGTATAAGGGCTCGAAAACAGCCCCTGCTCTCATGATCTTCTGAGGGGTGGCTTCTGGGATTACCTTCAGAATGTACTCATGGGCCTAATGCCCCTGTGCAGTGGCCATGAGGCCCCAGGGTGAGACCGGGTATGGGAATACAATTTCTGAAATTGTAATTTGGTTGGGACCCAGGAAGGAGCCACACTTCTAGGGGCATTGAATCAAAAGCAACAGCCTTCAGGGAATTACCAAAACATTTCCACCCCTCCCCCCCAACCTGAGCTCCTCCTGAGAACCCTTCCCTTCTGGAGGCATGGCCCCTTCAAGGGGGGCAGTGAGAAGTCTTTGCCAGCTGCTAGTCCCCATCAACTCACACCTCAGAACATCTTGTCCCCAGTGAGCTGGCAGGGGTGCTGGTGGGGCGGGGGATGCGGTATCTAACTCGGGTGATTGTGCATAACCGTCTGGGCTGGTGCATGGAATGTTCTCAGGGCCCCCACCCTCCCTGTTCTTCAGTATCCCCCCCAAGAAAGGAAAATTATTTTTCATGTTGTAAACTTTAAACACGAAAAAGCTGTTTTTAATTTAGCAGAAACTGGCTTGGATCTTTGTGATGTTTGTGTCCTTCAGAGAAAGGCAGAACACGCGTGTGCACACAAACACAAACTCATGCACGCACACACCTGCACTCATGCATTGCGGCACACAGTCACATGGTCACACTAACTTGCCTGAACACACGGGTTCTCATCTGCTCACTCACAGCCTTGCGCATGCGCTCATGCACGAGCATGTGCACTCCTGACTAGCCCGGCCCACCGCATGGCACTAATGGAGGTCTGGAGCCTGCACCATATCACCTCCCCTCGCCTGTAGCCTCAGTGGCCGTCCCCAGCGTGGGCCTGAGCATGAGGAAAGCCCTCCTGCTTCCAGATGTCCCGGCAGGAGCCTCCCTCTGCACCTGGGCTTGGGCTGTGGGAAAACTCTTTCTCCAGGGATGGTGGGATACAGGCCTGTGAGAAGGAGGCCAAGTGTGACTTCTGGGGCTTCCCAATGAGCCAAAGGGGCCTCTAGGGAGCCATGTGTGGTGGGAATCTGCCCCAGACCTGGCCAGCTTGGACACCCGCCCCTGGCTGAGCCTTGAGAACTTGGCTCTGTTCTCATAAGCCCTGAGATTCTCTTTTCATGGTGTGGTTTTATTAGGGGCACCTGGCCATGTGTCTCAGAGGTGCAATTCAAATGTTTGTTGCACAAGTGAGGGGCTCTGAGGTAGCAAGGTGGGAGCAGAGCCTTGTCCAACCCAGCGTCCCTAGGTACCATCTGCACCCAGGGCAGGAGGGCCATGAAGCTGTGTTCCCACTCATGACAAGATCCCAGACTAGTTCTGTGGGTGATGGTGCCAGTTGCCACCCGGTGGCCATCTCTCCCTCCTTACCCACAGAACCCTGATTTGGTGCCAGCAGCAATGTGCCTGGCCTTGGGGGTTAATTTAGGATTTGGCCGAACCTTTCTTGGCAATGCCTTTTCTGGGGCTGTTTGTGATCTGGGCACCAAAGCTTTTCCAAGCTTTTCCAAGCTTTGGTCAGCAAGCTAAGTCTGGGGTGGGGGTTTCTGGACAAGGAAGAGAACTTTTTGCCCTCTCCCCTCTCTTTCCCTCTCCTCCCCTTAATGCTTCCTATATGGACACAATACCAGGAGCAGCTGCAGCCATCTTGTGGCCATGAGGAGCAAGTTAAGAGAGGTGCAAAGATGCCACTTCCCAGAGCCTCAAAGTCAGGGGCTCCCAGTCCTATAATGGAAATTCTGACATCCCAGACCCCTTTTTATGAGAAATCACAATGTCTATGCTGCTTAAGATATCAGTGGGGGGCCTCCCTGGTGGCGCAGCGTAGCGCTGTGAAGCTGTCTGCAGCCTCTGCAGCGCGGGTTCAATTCCCGGCTGGCCAGGGAGATTTCCACATAGCACAGCAGACCTCTCCTGTTGTGCCCACTGCTCCCCTCAGCAGTGCTTTTGGTCTGTCCGCCTGTTCTGCTCCCCACTCTGTCTCTGGTGAATCCTCTCACCCTCCCACGCCTCTGGCCTGTACCCCAGCTATTGTATAAAAAATAAACCTTTAAAAAAAAAAAAGAGGGGCCTCCCTGGTGGTGCAAGGGGTTAAGACGCAACCTAGGAAGCTATCAGCAACTTCTGCTGCACGAGTTCGATCCCTAGCCGGCCAGGGAGTAACCCACATGGCGCAGCAGACCTCTCCTGACTCGCCTGCTGCTCCCCTCAGCAGTGTACTATGGTCAATCTGCCTGTTCTGTTCCTCACTCTGTCTCTGGTGAATCCTCTCACCCCCCACAGCTCTGGCCTGTACCCCAGCTCTTATATGCATAAATAAATAAATCTTTAAAGAAAAAAGATATCAGTGGGCAGATGTTCGGATACTGTAACCCAAACAGTTCCAAAATTATAAATGTAATAGATGCTGGGACTTCCCCATGTGATGTAAGTCAGGGTTTTTATTTGCAAGCAACAGAAACTGACTGGCCACTTTAAATAGCCAAATTGTACAGGGGGAAGGCTTTTTGGTTGGTTGGTTGCAGAAGTGGCAGGAAAGCTGGAGAAACAGGATGCAAAAACAGGAGTCAAGGGGGCGAGACAGCTAGAGACCCTCAACTGAAATCTCACCAGGGAACTGGCAGTGGGGTCGCTTCTACCGCCACCTGAATCCGGATACCTCCCACCTCAGTTAGCACCAAAATCTGCCCTTGGCATTCAACCCTGGCTGCCCCTGTAGACCAGACACTCCTGCCCTGATACCCTTTCTCTTCACACCACTTGTCGCTGGGTGGAAACACTTTGTTGGCCCAATCTGTGTCTTGTGTCAGAGCCCTCTGCCTGGGATGTAGAAGTGAGCATGTGAGTGTGTTCATCAACAGCTACTGCTTCTGTGTCACAGACAACCCTATAGCCTCTATGGCACTCAACAAATGTTTATTTTTCCCATGTCTGTGACTCAGCTGGGAAGTGCCCTCAGCTGGTCAGCTCTGCTCCTGGGTGCCAGGCTGTGGAGTGGCCCAGCATCTCTGCTTCAACCATCTACAGCACCCCTCAGATCAGCAGCATTCTCTACAAGAGTGCAGGGGACACATGGAGTCACCAAGGCCTCCCAAGGTCCAGATTTGTAACTCATACACTGTCACTTCTGCCCATATGCTCTTGGCCAAAGGAAATCACCAAACCTCAGGGCTGGGGACATAACCTCTACCTTAGGAAAGAAGAGCTGTAGAACAGTGTGGGGGAGGGTTTGGACATGGGCATAAAAGGGAGACCAAGGCCTGTAATTTGATCCAGTACACTGTTGACTTTGGGGCCTCTGTTGTCAGTGACTTTCCATGGAGGAACTTTCTACACTTGGATGGGCACCTGGATGCTGGATCACCAAAGGAAAATGCCCGCTTGACTTCTCCTGCAGCCACTGCCCCCTGGAGGTCAGCAATCTTCCTCTTATTTTTGTCGCAAAAATTGGGCTGTATATATCCTGGGCTTTTGGACAGTGGAGAGGGGGTCTGCATGTGGAAGGTCAGCTGGAGCACAGCAGAGTGGTAAGGCCCTGTGGTGTCCTCAGGAGTCCTGCGCCAGGTGTCCCCTCAGCACAATGCTTGGAGGGAGGAATAAGCTCTGCCCCTACACTGCCATCCTCCCCCGGCACACCTCTACCCCAGGGCCCTCCACTCTCTGTTCCAACCTCTTGCTCTTGCAGCCTACCCTTCATGGTAGGTCAGCCCTCCACCCCACACTCAGCCCAGGGTAGGGGAGGCACAGCCTGGGTCCCTGTCTAACATCTTCCAGTTCAATCAGAAGGAGTGAGCACATCTGAGGCTTCGGACTGCGGCAGGCGCTCCTCTTTCACGGCATAATCAAAACTGGCTCTGGCTCTCCTTTGAAGATGGTCTCATGAGGGGCCGGTGTGGAATTCAAGAACTGACCATGAATAGTTTTTCCTTTTCTCCCCATTCTGATGGCCCCAATTCACCTCCATGTGATACCCCTGATGGGTTAGAATGCCATATAAGGTGGTACAGAAAAGCAGGCATAAAAATGAGTATCTCAACTTAGGATTGTTTCCCTGACAGCTATTGAGTGCTTGGGAGGAAGCAGGTGCTGAGCTAAGTGCTTCACATGCAGTCTATTTAATCTTCCCAAGAGCTTGTTATGAGGAGCACCACCATTCACATTTAACATAGGCAGACAGCAAGGCTCAGAGACATAAAGTCACTTTTTTTGCCACACAGCTGGAGAATCAGCAAGGGCTGGGCCATGCAGAAACTCTCAGAGCTTAGGTTTTTTTAATTTATTTAAAAATTTATTTTATTTATTTATGCATACAAGAACTGGGGTGTAGACCAGAGGTGCGGGGGTGAGAGGATTCACCAGGGACAGAGGGGGGAGCAGAACAGGTGAATCTACTGAAATACACTGCTGAGGGGAGCAGCAGGTATTGACAGGAAGAGGTTGGCTGCATCATGTGGGTCAGCTCCCTGGCCGGGGATAGCTTGGTAGCGCTGAGATTTTAACCCTTGTGCCACCAGGGAGCTCCCAGAGTTTAGGTTTTTAGCTTATATTTAGCTTTACATTGGAGTGCTGTTACCTGGATGCAGGGGAGAACAGTCTTGTGCTAAGGACCTGGTATAGGTGCAGCAAGACTGGAGAATATGAGAAAGGGAGGAAGGGTAGGGGTAGAAGATGGTGTTGGGCAGCCACCAGGGAACACTGGGAGGCAGGCAGAGCTATGAGCAGAGGAGATAAAACTGTATCTGGAGGCAGCAGAATGTGGCTTATAAGAACTCACCTCTTAGCTCATACTTGGATTCGCTGTGTTACTAAAGTGAAGGTATTCATCAAGTAGATACTCCCAGCCCTTTCAGGTCAGGGCTAGCTGCAGAAGGACCTAGTACTGAGTGAGTCCAGAGTGCGGAACAGCTCTCCATCAGGGGCAGGAGGGACTCTGGATGAGGGGACATTTGTGGTAGGGTTTTTAAAATATTTATTTATTTATGCATATAAGAACTGGGGTACAGGCCAGAGGTGTGTGTGTGGGGGGGGGGCGGGTGAGAGGATTCACCAGAGACAGAGTGGGAAACAGACCAGGCAGATTCACTGAAATACACTGCTGAGGGGAGCAACGGGCGAGTCAGGAGCAGTCTGCTGCACCATGTGGGTAGCTCCCTGGCCGGGGATTGAACTCGTGCTGCAGTGGCTGCAGATAGCTTCATAGGTTGCATCTTAACCCCTTGTGCCACCAGGGAGGCCTCTATGTCTGTCTTTCCTGTGTCAGACAGGGAACTCAGCCCCTAGTGTTTGAGAAGTGTAAACATACTCAACTCAGTCTATAGGGGAGCAGACTGGTCCCTGGTAACAACTGCCTTCAGAGAGCAGGATGTTTCCACATTGAAGGACACACAGTGCACTTTATATAGGGTCCTCAGTGAGGGTCTCAGAGGAGAGACCTGACAGATGAGTCTAGGCGGAGGCAGTGGCACATACAAAGATCCATAGGTATATCAGTAAGAAGGCCAGAGTGTCTGGCAAGGGACAGGTTAAGGATGGTGGGGGCCACAAGGGAAAGGGGGAGTTCATTCCTAAATGAATGGTCCACTCTCGTTTACAAAGACCATGGCTACTCAGAGAAGCCCTGTCTCGGCCACACTGGGTGGCAGCAGCGTCCTTTGATGAAGAAGGAAAATGTAAACATCAGGGCTGGGTTCTGACCGGGTAGCCAGATGCTTTGGCCTCGGTCTCCTTGGAACTGGGGGGTCAGTGGAGTGGGAGGAGGGCTTGGGTCACCATCCGGCCATTGCACAATAAGCAGGCTGGCAGCTTCCTCTGACTCATCACCAGGGTTTAGGACAGATTGAGTTACAGCAGGGTGGGGGTGAATGGGGTGAGTAGGGCAGGTCACTTCTCTCTGTCCTGTGCACATGGCCTGTTCTGTGACCTCAGAATTCCTGCTACCCTGAAAATCTGCCTCTTCCATCTTTCTGTGCCCAGAAAGCTGCTTAGTGCAGGCAATGGAAGTGAACAGTGTATCCGGAATTTTTTGAGCACTATGAGCCAGGCACTTGACATATTAATCTCATTTAAACCTTACAAAATCCAGTACAGAGAAGGAAGCCAAACTCCGCTGTTGGGGCTGAGTTCTAGTCCTACTTTCAGCACTTCACTTGCTATAGGCAGCTGCCATCCCTGCTCTGTCTCTGCTTCCTCTGTGAAGTCCCAAGACAGTGGTGGGGTCTGGAAGCCACCTATGTAGAACACTTAGTCCCACACTTGACTCCTAGAAGCTGCAGTGTCAGTGATAGGGAAAGAATATTTACTTCAAATCGACTTCAGCAAGAAAGAAAGTAAGTTACTTGCTCATATAACTGAAAAGGCAGGGTTCTGACTTTACACATGGTTGGATCCAGAAGCTGATACAACAAATCTCTGCTTTTAGGGAGAGGGAGTGGTGAAGTCAGTCCTACATACAAGTCACTGAAGTCAGAAATAGTCTTCCCTGAAGGGCAGTGATCGTTGACATCAAAAAGGAAGAAAATATCCTTGTTAGGCAAAAAGGTTAGAAGTTCATGGAAGTGCTGATAACCGTCTGAACAGGAAGGGACAGTACCTTGAACACTCCAATTTAAAATCTATGAATATGGGCCTCCCCCGTGGCGCAGCGGTTGAGCGCTGGGTTGCAAAGCTGCCTGCAGCCTCTGCAGCTCCGGTTCGATCCCCAGCTGCTCCCCGGCCACCGGAGGAGGGTCCCACATGGCGTGCAGACCTCTCCTGCCGCCCGCTGCTCCCCTCAGTAGTGTACTTTGGTCTTTCTGCCTGCTCTGCTCCCCGCTCTGGCTCTGGTGAATTCTCTCACCCTCCCGCGCTTCTGACTGTACCCAGTGCATGTATAAATAAATAAATAAATCTTAAAAAAAAGTAAAAAAATAAAATAAATAAAATCTATGAATATATAGGGCCGCCCTGGTGGTGCAAGGGATTAACTCTCAGCACTATGAAACTATCGGCAGCCACTGCAGCACGAGTTTGATCCCCAGTCAGGGAGATATACACATGGCACAGCAGACCTCTCCTGTCTCACCCATTGCTCTCCTCAGCAGTGTATTTCAGTAGATCTGCCTGTTCTGTTCCCCACTCTGTCTCTGGTGAATCCTCGCACCTCTGGTCTATACCCCAGTTCTTCTATGCATAAATAAATCTTCAAAAAATCTATATATTATATGTATACCCACATATAAATAAATAATATGGATATTTCATTGAACTGTTTGTAAAGTGTGAATAAAAGCATGCTTAGAAAATGGGTGTCACCCTGTGATCTCCACCAGGGTCCCCTCAAGTCACTCCTCATCCTAGGAAGAAGTGTGTGCGTGCAGTTATAAATGCCTCACATTCCCTAGGCTGCCTCTCCACTCCCCAACCATGACTTCAAATTACAGGGGTGTCCCAAATACAAACCTTTATATTGATGTTGGGAGTCCTTCTGCTTGTGGAAGGACAGCTAGTTGTCCGAACCCCTCTTGCTTCCCTGGATCAGCTTCCACCACTGGAGAGAATATGCAGGTCAGGCTGGGATTTCTGGACCTTTTTTTTAACGCCATGGCAAAGCCAAATTGTTGGCAAAGAGGAGGATGAAATGCTGTATTCCTGGTTCTTTTGACTGAAGGATCCAGAAATAGAAAGTGGTCAAATGTGCGAAGACAAGGAAAGAGGTGTTAAAGATCATGCCCTCAAATTACATAGGTTGGGGGCTACTTAACAAGGTTCAGGTCTCAGCTCAAATGTTTCCCCCTTCCCTAGCCATGGTTGTTGCAGGAGACTCCCTCCCTTCTTCTAGCCTATCTCTAGTTTTATTTTATAAATCACTTTAATCTCCATCTGAAACGTTCTTGGTTATTTGCTATGTCCTCTCCGACTGCACCCCACGAGTACAGGGTCCACTTCTGCTTGCTCATACCGAATACTAGTTGAATAAATGAATGCAGGAATGAGCAACACTCTGAATTGGTCTTGGAACTCTTGGTCTGAGCCCAAGCTCAGCCTCCGGTCGCTACCTGTTCTTGGGAGAGGGTGCTGGCCCCATGTTTGTGAAATGGGAGAGTTTGGATCCAGTTGTTTCCAGCTGTCCGGTGTCCCCACACCATCGTTACTTGGAGAGGGGGAGAGGTGCCACCACATCACTGCTAGTTGGAGGTAACATATCATAGGTTCCTGGAGCTCCACGACCCCAGTCTGTTCACGGACCTTGCCGGTCAGCTTGGCGGCTGCTGTCCAACGCACCAGGAGACAGCTCACTGCGCCTGCGTCGGAGTACTCGCCACACCTCAGCGGGCTACGGGCGCCACCCGGGCGCGCGCGTGCGCTGTCGCCCCCGCGCGGAGCGCTACTTCTGTGCGCCTGCGCCACGCTCACGCTTGCCGTGGCGCCTGCGCCCTAGCCTCCGCCCGCGGGCCCGGCTGGCGCCTGCGCGGTGGTATCGCAGTGGAGGGGGCGAGGAGTGGAGGAGGAGGAGGCGGCGGCGGCGGCGGCGGCGGCGGCGGCGGCGGCGGCGGCGAGAAGATGGCGACTTCGAACAATCCGCGGAAATTCAGCGAGAAGATCGCGCTGCACAACCAAAAGCAGGCGGAGGAGACGGCGGCCTTCGAGGAGGTCATGAAGGACTTAAGCCTGACGCGGGCCGCGCGGGTAAGGGGCTGCGCGGCGACCCCGCGCGGGAGCAGGGGCGGGGAGGGGGCGCGCGGCGGGGGCGGGGCGGGGCGGGGCGGGGCGGGGCGGGGCGCGGCCGGGCAGGTGTGCGCGGCCCCGGCTCGTGGGCGGGACAGTCCCCGCGGCGGCCGCTCCCTGGAGGGGGACAGGTGCCCGCATCATCCTACTTGGAGGGGACAGGTGGCCTATGTCATCCCTACCTGTCGGGGACAGGTGCCCGCGCAGCATCCCTACCTGGAGCGGACAGGTGCCCCACGTCATCCTACCTGAAGGGGACGGGTGTCCCCATCACCCGTGTGGAGGGGACAGGTGCCTCCATCAGCCATACCTGGAGGGGACACGACATGCCCCACTCCATCACGGAGACCTGCAGGGGACGCCACCCCGTAGCATTCATCTGCAGGGCATAAAGGTGCCCACATCATCCATACCTGGAGGGGACAGCTGCCACCCCAACATCCCTATCTGGAGAGAACAGGTGCCTTGCCACAACACATTATCCTTACCTGGAGGGGACAGGTATCACTGTATCATACCTATCTGGAGTGGAGAGGTGTTCTTACAATACTAGAGGGGACAGGTACTACCACATCATTTATATCTGGAGGAGACAAGTGTTCCCACATCATCCTACCTGGAGGGAACAGGTGGTACTACATCATTACTACCTGTAGGGGACAGGTGCCATTACATCACAGTTACCTGATGAAGGACAGGTGTTTCCACACATATCTGGAGGGAACAGGTGCCCCCACATCATCACTACTGGGAGGGGGTAGGTGCTATTACATCATTATTACCTGGAGGGGACAATGCCCCCACTTCACTTTATTTAGGAGACAGTGTGACACTGAAGTGTATGAACTGGGCACTGCTTGTAAGCATCACTGTTACCTGGGAAGAGGGGATAGGTGCCCCCCCACACCCTTGCTACCCGAGGAGGACAGGTGACTGCACATCACTGCTGCCTGACAGGACAGGGACTCATCACTTTCACCTGTGCCCTTACTCCTTGGATGGTGGGGGATGGACAGGTGTCCCTACTTGCGGACCTGAAGTGGTACAGCTATCTCCTTTTTGGACTTCTGAGGGGAAGGTAACCTGTGGACACTAGCCTGTGGGAACCTGCTGGGTCAGAAAGGCAGGTTATACACAACTCGGGGCTTGGAGTGAACACCGCTGCCCCTTTCCTAGGCGGCCCATATGGTTCCACCCACCAGGACAGGGACAGCTGGCTACACATGGGACCCTGGCCCTTTTGGGCAAAGGTGGATGACCTGTCCTTCCTCAGGGGGCTGGTGCATTTGCCATGCAGGGGCAAGCTGGGTCACCTGCTCACTTCACCTGGGGAGCTGCTGTGGTGTGGGACTGGCTCTGGACCAGGGTCGAAAGCCTAATTCTTCTACCTGCCCTAGTCCTCTGGCTACCGTACTGTGGTGGGTACCAAGCTTCTGGGGCCTGAGTATCCTCAGGCCCTCATGTCTACCATGTCCGCCACGCCCTTCCAGTGGTCAGGGAGGTCATGATTTGCACAGGTATTTAAACCACTGTGGCATTCCTGCCACTGAGGGGACCCTTACCCTGTACCCTGATGCCACTGGATTGGATTGTTACTGGAGGATTGGATAGGGGCTGCAGACCCCACACCACTGGTTTCTGAATGTGGCCTCTCATCTGACCATTCCAGGCTGACCACATCAGACTCTGATGCCATAGGTGGAATTTTTGAGTGATATTATTTCTAATCAGTTGCTTGTTTGTTGCAAAATTGTGACCTTAGGAACTAAAGTGTATCTTCATTTTCAGTGTATTTATTCAGCACATATCAGTCAGATGCTCACTGTTGACCAGGTGCTGTCCATCCCTGCTCAAGAAATAGTGGAAGAGATGGTTGGTGAATGAATGTGGAAATAAATGAATGAAACCATGCAACTTGAGTGTCCCTCATAAATTAGGGCTTCTGAAGGCAGGGGTGTTGCTTCCTCTTGCCTCTGGCATGTAGTGTGTGCTAGCGTAGAGTAGGCGTTAACTGTATGTGACCTGATGAAAGATAGGGGTCACAGGAGGTTCATGACTGTCTTCATGATTGGAGGTCTGGTTTCTATGTTGGGGTTGGAAATAGATATTGTTAAAAAGATTTCTTTGAAATAATAGATTTATTGAGATATAGTTCACATACCATATAATTCTCTTGTTTAAAGTGTACAATCCAGTGGTTTTTAGTATATTTATGGAGTTGTGCACCACCACCACTGTCTAGTTCCAGAACATTCCATCACCCCAAGAGAAACTCTGTTACCATGAGCAGTCACTGCTGTCTTCCTCCCCTACCTCTGACAATCAATAATTTGTTTTCTGTCAATGGATTTATCTATTCTGGACATTTTGTGTAAGTGGATCATACACTATATGGTCTTTTGTGTCTTGCTTCTCTCATTCAGCATCATGTTTTATCCACATTGCGTGTGTCAGGACTTCATCTTTTTTATGGCCAAGTAATATTCCACCATGTGAATGCATCATGTTTGTTCATCCATCCATTCTTTGATGAATTTAGAAAAGATTTTTAAGAATTGCCAGGTAGCAATTCTGAAAGCATTGGTTACCATTGCCCATTCTTCTACTGCTGTTTTCTTTACATGGGGGAGGTGGATAGGGGTGGGAACTGGGTAACAATGAACTTATGCTGGATTTGAGAGACAAAACAGTGTTCTCACCTGGGGTGATTCTGCTGCCTTCTCAGGACATCTAGCATTGACTGGAGATTTTTGGTTGTTTCAACTCAGAGAAGGTACTACTGGCATAAAATGGGTAGAGACTGGGGCACTACTGAGTACCAAGTGAGTGCTTGGACAAACCCACTCCAGAGATGATCCAGTTCTGGATGTAGGCAGTGTTGAAGCTGAGAAGCCTTCAGTTTGGAGGAAACATTTAGTGGGTAGGGTGTAAGCTTTGCACCTGGGCAGATGGAGGTCACAACTTTCCACCCACTTGTGTGGCCATGCCACCTTGGGCAAGTGAATGGCTTTCTAGCACCTGAAACCAGGTGAGGGCTAGCTTGTTCAGTCATTATAGGTGGTGAGTGGCACCCTGCAGTGCCTGAGTGAGGAGGGAGCCTACCTAAAGAACCCTCCCCTGGGCCTCCTGGGTGGTGTAGGGGTTGAGCCTCAGCGCTCTCACCACCATGGCCTGAGTTCGATCCCCGGCCAGGGAGCTAACTCACATATGGTGCAGCAGATCTCTCCTGTCTCGCCTGCTGCTCTCCTTATTACTGAATTTCAGTAGTCCTGCCTGCTCTGCTCCCCACTCTGTCTCTGGTGAATCCCCTTACCCCCTGCACCTCTGGCCTATGCCCCAGTTCTTCTACAAATAAATAAGTAAATCTTAAAAAAAAAGAACCCCTCTCCCTTCCCTCTGTGGCTACAGCTTTCCTAAGTGCCTTTCCCATGGTGGATACCAGGGTTTCACCTCCACCTTTGAGCAGGTGGAATTGTGGTACTGTGTGTACCTGTCCCTCTTTGGTGAGTTCTGTAGGACCTTATGACCACCCTTGTTCATTGGTGGTTATGGACACAGCGTGGTACTCCATCAACAAGCCCAATGAGGACATCCATGCCATCATCTCCTCTTGAGGGAAGCACCAAAGGGCTAGGTCAGTTAGGTGGTGGACTGTGACTTCAGGGAGATGATTTTCAAGTCACCAGACAAAGAGGGTGGCTGCAAATGAGTGAGACAGATGCTCTCAGAACAAGCAGAGTGATATGTTAGGACTGCCTGGGTTGTGGAACTGACACCTGGATGGTGTGCTGCATCCATCATCTCCTGAAATCCAACAGAGAGTTCAGGTGAGGACTGGACAGGTGCAGTGCCAAGGTGAAAAGGGATCGATGAGGTTGAGGACAGGTTGGGGACATGTTTAAAGGTTGGCATGTTGAGAGACTGAGACGAGAGGCTTGGCAGGCCTGGATTTCACCTGTTTTTTGTGGGGTTGTCTAGGACAGGGGTTGCTGGCCAGGTTTGCTGTGGCAGGCAAGTGGCATCATGAGTTTATGTAACAGCTTTTTTGAGCTAGAATTCCCAATACATTCATTCCACCCATTTTTTTCCCCCCAAGAACTGAGGTGTAGGCCAGAGGTGTGGGGGGTGAGAGGATTCACCAGAGACAGAGTGGGAAGCAGAACAGGTGGATTTACTGAAATACACTGCTGAGGGGAAACAGTGGACAAGACAGGAGAGGTCTGCTGTGCCGTATATGGGTCAGCTTCCTGGCTGGGGATCAAACTCAGGCCGTAGTGGTCATAGCGCCGAGAATTAACCCCCTAGGCCTCAAGGGAAGCCCTCATTCTGCCCATTATTGGGACCAATTCAGTGGCATTACATGTTCACAGTGTTGTACAATTACCACTTCTGTCTAGTTCCAGAATGGTCCTTCACCCCATCCCCATGTGTAGTCACTTCTTCTCCACCAGCCCCCAGCTGCCATTAATCTGCTTTCTGGATTTGCCTGTTCTGGACATTTCATATAAGCGGGTCACATACAATGTGGCCTTTTGTATCTGACTTCTTCTATTCAGCATCATGTTTTTGAGGTTCATCCATGTTGTAACATAAATCAGTGCTTCATCCCTCTTATTTAACTTGTAAAATATATATATATATATATATATAAAAAACACATAGAATTTATCATCTTAACCATTTTTAAATGTGTAGTTCAGTGATATTAAATATATTTCCATTGTTATGTGTCATCTCCACCCATGCTTCCTTCCTTTTTAAGGGTGAATAATATTCTGCTGTGTCCATTCCATGGACACTTGGGTGGTTTCTACCTTTTGGCTGTTGTGAATTGTGCTGCTGTGGATGTGCCCGTTCCCTGCATGTGTGGGTGAGCGCGTCCTTCCCTTTGGTGCAAACTAAGGAAGCAGTCAGGGCTAACTCTTCATTTACCATCTGAGGACACTTCACATCCCACAAAG